AAATTTGTTTACATATATATTTATATAAATATCGTCGAGTGATAAGAACTGATAAGAAAGTAAATAAATCCATCGTTCATTTTATATATATATATTATAAATTTTTTTTTTTTTATATTGATATTTTATTTCTTTAAAATTCGTCGAATAATCGAATTGAGCCGTCGGTGAAATAAAAAAAAAAAAATAATAAATAAACAAACCGAGATTTTATGTACATTATTAATGAGTATTATTATTATTATTATTAATATTAATGAAAATCATTACCCTTATCGTAAAATGATTTTATTATTATTTTATTAATTTTTTTTTTATTTAACTTTTTTTTTTTTTTACACAGTAATTTATTATTATTATTATTATACTTTTGAATTTTTTTTTTTTTTTTTTGAAAAGAAATTTTTATCCGCATTTATTATTATTATCACTATTATTATTATTATTATTATTTTTATTATTAAATTAAAATTTTCATTTGTAAATATTAAATACTTTAATAACACACACAGTTTTTTTTTTTTTTTTGTTTGTTTTTATGTAAATATATATAATGATTATTATAATTATTATTATTATTATTAATAATGTTTTTTTCTTATTGTGTGTGCGCGTGTGCGTGTGTGTGAGGGCGTGTGATAACACATTGGTAAAAAAAATTTCCTTTTAAATAAGAAAAAAAAATTTTTTTAATGTCGTCATTGAATTCTTTTGTTGGTTTATAATAATATACATAAGCGGGTAGGGGGTGAGTGGAGAGGGTAGGGTAGGGGTAGTGGGAAATGAAATTTGCATCCAGGAAATAAAAAAGGAAAAAAAAATTTGTTTGTCAGGTGATAAAAAAAAAAAAAAAAAAAAAAACATGAGGAGGAAGATGATGAGTCAAAAACGATGAATAAAATATAGTAAAAGTCCCATATTAGTTATTAATAAGATATTGTTAATTAATTGATTAAAAGTGAGTAAAGAAAGAGTGTTTGTATGTTTGTTTGTATGTTTGTTTGTTTGTTTGTCTGTCGAGTCCCAATTAGCAATGGATTTGATACTTTGCCACAAAATTATTATTATGATGATAAATTAAATTTTTTTAAATTATTCAGTTAAAAGAAAAATTTTTTTTTTTTTTTTAAATAAGTTTCATGATTGTTTGTCGAAAAGAAATTTAATAATCAATTAATAATAATAATAATAATAATAATAATAATAATAATAATTGTTAAGTTTTGTGATTGTAATTATTAACTTGTCGTTTGTTAATAGAAAATTTTTTTTTTCGAAAAAAATTTAATTAATTCATTAATGATGATGAGTTTGTCACATCAAGTCATTACCTGTTTGTTTGTTTGTTTGTTTGTTATGTGAAGTTTTGGAATTTTTATTATTGCACAATTGAGTTTAAATAATTTAAAATTATTTATAATAAAATGTTTGGAAGGGAAATAATAATAAATTTTATGCATTCATCCCACAGGATTGTGGTGGTAGTGATGGTGGTGGTGGTGGTGTGTATGTTTTTTAAACAAAAGAATTGTTTTATAACTAAATATTGATAATTACTTACTTGAAAAATAACATAATACAATTTGAAATAGTTTTTTTTTTGTAAAAAAAAGATATTGATAATGAGTGTGGGATTATATTACAAATGATACCTGTTTGACGTTTTTTAAATTGTTTAAAAACTAAAATAATGTTTAAATAACTAAAAAACTATTTAAACTAAACTACATAAAAAATAATTTAGTGTAAAAAAAATTAAAAAATACGTTAAAGATTTAATAAAAAAAAAAAAAAATTTAATCTCTTGTAAATAATCTGGTGTTACGTAATATAAGGAGAAAAAAAAAATGAGAATTTGTTCGTCTTGTTTCCCTAAAGTTAATTCAGTACGAAAACAACAATTTAGTGACGGTGTTTCGATTTGTTCTAAAAATTCATCGTATAAAGAAGAAGAAGAAGAAACACAATCAAAATTTTATTGTTGTGGTCGAGTTCCTCCAAAAAGGTTTTATAAAAAAAGGCATGGAATGTGTGATGATAAATACGATAATGATTTTGTCGATTTAGGAATTGATGCAATTGATTTTGTTAGTAGTGGTGGAAAAACAGACATTGTCAATCCCGTAAGTTAAAACTTTTTTTCCCCTTTTTTTGAATTTAATAAAATTGATGACGTTTTTTTTAAATTTTACAAAGAATTTTATTTGAATCGTTTCCTTTTTTTATTTTGTTCTCTATATATATATATATGTATAAAAATAAACAAATTCGAATGATTCATTCACCTGTGATAACGTTTTTTTCTAAAACGTATTAAATAAATATGGATCGATATTTAAAAAAACCGTTACGCAATCATGTAGGATTAAAATTATTTTTTGTTGTTTTAATTTATTAGAGCGTGCCTTATTCGGCTGCATTACCTGAAGAATTATATCAGGGTAGAGCAATTGAAATATATGGAAAATTATTGGACAATGCAAAAAGGTTAGAATAATAAATTTGTTTTAATGAATGTTTCAAATCGATTTGAGGTTTTATGTGTGTGTCTGATTATAGATTTTCAATAAATTTATCAACTGATAGCGAAAGTAATTCAGATTTGGCATTACATTTTAATCCTCGTATCGATAGAAGATTGGTTATAAGAAATCATAAAATAAAAAATAAATGGGGTGTCGAAGAGATTTTATCATTGCAACCATTTCCATTTACATTGGGAAGAAATTTTTCAGTTTTAATTTTAGTCGCTGATGAAAAATTTTTTGTAAATATCAAACATCAATATATATAATTTTTTTTTTAATATTATTAATCAATGATTGATTGCCATTTGTATTTTTTTTTTTTTTGTGTTTCAGATAGCTGTTAATAGAATTCATTATTGTGCCTTTGCTTTTCGAATTCCAATTGAAAAAGTAAAATATCTTATCATACTCGGTGATATTACAGTTACTGCGATACAACATGGTAACAAAACATTTTATCCTCCAGAAAATTTAAAAAAAATTCCAAAAGTTGTTATTCCTCATCCGTTGACTAATGAAAGTGTGAAGTGTGAAATTAGGGTATGTATTTTTTTAAATACTTTACTGCTGTTGTTTATTTCTATATTTAATTTAATAAATAAAATACAATTTTTGTTGAATTTGATAGAGAAAAGTAAAAGCCATTAAAATTGGTACTAAAATAGATATATTTGGAAGATTAAAATTACTTCCAAGAGCATTTTATGTTAATTTACAAAAAGGTATTTATTTATGGCCTCATCCGATTATTCCGTTTCACATGAATTTGAGGTTACATCCTCCGGGAACACATAAAACTGAGAGTGAGGTAAGTAAACTAAGAAATTGAAAACTAATAGCATGAATTTAAAAAAGAAAAATAATGAAAAATTTTTTGTTCAAGTATAGATTATTTTCAATTCTTGGATGGATGGTTATTGGGGTAAAGAAGAAATAATAGATAATTGTCCTTTTTTACCAGGAACTCCTTTTCATATAAATATCATTTGTACAAATGATGGATTTCATGTTTCAGTTAATAAAAATAGTTTATTCAATTATAACCAAACAAAAATCAATCAGGATATTGATTCGATTGTAATCGATGGTGATATTATAATTACCAAAGTTGTAATACATTAAAATACTTAATTATAACAGTAAAGACTAACAAAAAACAAATATTATTGTTAAACTACCCGACATGTTTGTAATTTTTAATTTTTTATTTTTTTTCTCTTCGAATCTAAACCAAAGTTAATTAAAAGCTTTAAAATATTGATTTTAAGAAATAACTTAAAATATTTAAACATTTTTTTTTTTTAATATCAATTTTTGGTTGCAAGTTTTAATTATGATTATTTGTTTATAATTATTATTCAAAAGTGATTTTTTTGTCAATCATTATAATAATATTATTCTTCTGTGTAAAATTTCAAATATTGACGCGGGTTTCGTTATCGTTTTTTTTGCAATTCAAAAGGAATTTCTCATACGAAAAAAAAATTAGACTCGTTTAAAATTTATCTAAAATGTATTTTTGTAAAAAAATTATAAATTTAATAATTTATAAATCATGGATATTTATTTTCTTTCCCCCTCCCCCCCCCAGCAAAATTATTTAAAATCATTTTATTTATATAAATCGCCGTTAATAAAGTAAAAAAAATGGTTTTGTCGTGGAACGAGAGTACGGCAACGCCATTATTCATAGATTGTTCAGTGATGCCAACTTTTTCGTGAATCGGAAAAATATTTAATTTAACCGAAATCTGTCATTGAAATGAAAAGGAAGAGATGGGAGACGATATTGATGTACAAGAAACCCATTCTACATCAAAACCAAAGAAAGATAATAATCAGGATGAGCTGATAATGCAACAGCAAAGAAAAATCGAACAGGAGGTATGATTAAATATATTTTTATATCGAACACTATATACAAATTCAATATTTAAATCTCGATGCATTAACCAATATATCTATCATTTTTTTTTTTTCTTTTTCTTTTATTATATTTAGATATGCGATTCGATAGCTATTGTTGGCGATTTGGAACCGATATTGTCTTTAGAGACGGAATATCGTCCGGATGATATTTACGCAAAAAAAGTTCGTGATTTATCAAATAAGTACAAAAGCATTAGACGTACTAGACCCGATGGGAATTGCTTTTTTAGAGCTTTTGCTTATGCATATTTTGAAAAATTACTAACGGATAAACAAGAATATCAAAGATTTTATGATATAGCATCAAAATGTAAAGATAATCTAGTGAATTTAGGTTTTCCAAAATTTACAGTAGAAGATTTCCATGAAACTGTAAGTTTATTGATTGATTTATTTAATAAATATAAAAATTATAATTTATTTATTAATAAATCAATATATATATATATATATATATATATTTTTTTTAGTTTATGGAAGTTATAGAAAACATAGGGAAAAGTGAAACAACACAAGATGATTTACATAAATTATTTAATATCCAGGGTCATTCTGATTATGTTGTCGTGTATTTAAGGTTAATTACATCTGGACAACTTCAAAAGGAAGCAGATTTTTATCAACATTTTATAGAAGGAGAAAGAACGATAAGCGATTTTTGTCACCAGGTAATTTGTTTATTTTTATTTTAAGACTTCAACAAATAAAATAAATTGAGATGATTTGTAATGGATATTAATTGAATTTTGTCCATTACATTTCTCAGGAAGTTGAACCCATGTTTAAAGAGAGCGATCACATTCATATAATAGCATTAAGCACAGCACTTTCTGTCGGTGTGAGAGTTCGATATATGGATCGTGGTAATGAAAGCGAAGTGATTGCTCATGATTTTCCAGAGGGTACCACACCATCTGTTCACTTATTGTATCGTCCAGGACACTACGATATACTCTACCCTTGATAATAATAATAATAATAATTTTTATTTTATTTTATTTTATTTTACTTTTTTTTTTTTTTTCAAATGTTTTTTAATTATGTTTTTAACATTGGAAAATCTTTAAATAATAATAATGATTACTTTTTTCTTTTTTTCTTATCTGTTAAATCATGACTTTTAATCCCTTGTTTTATTATTATTATTATTATTATTATTATTGCTATTAATTAATTATTATTATGATTATTATTATTTTATTTTTTTAAAAAAAATTTTTGTTTTCTTAATTTTTTTTTAATATGATGATTTTATTTTTTAATTTTGATATTGATTTACATATAATAATTCAATAAATAATAATAATAATAATAATAATAATAATAATAATATTAATTCATTTAATTAATGATGATGATGATAATAATTATTATTATTATTTATTTTAACTGTTGGTGATGATTTTTTATTTCAAAGGAGAGAAAAAAATGATGATGATGATGGTAATAATAATAATAATTTTAATTGTATTTTTTTAATTTATTTATTCTGCTTTTCGTATCTTTAATAATAATAATAATAGGTGGTTTCTTTTTAGGTTATAAAAGGTTAGGACGGAAGGGAAAATTGAAAAAAAATGAAAAAACTTTTTTATCAAGTTCTGCTGCTTTATTATAATAAAATTAAAACATGACCATTTATTTCTATTGTATTAGGAAGAATCAATCAAAATGAATGTTCAAATAAAAAAAAAAAAAACTAACAACTATTTTATTATTATGTATAAAAAATGACGTAGTACGTGATGACGTAGTATGATGACGTAACAGGATAATTAATTAGCTAGACTTAATAATAGCGCCGTTGCTCTTTTTGTCCAATAATCGCTATTTTCCGTTCCCGATTTCAAATCTACCGCAACGATATATGCCGGCCTTCCTGGAGCTCCGGCTCTTATTGGAAAATAATAAGTGGGACAATTGTAAAAACCTGAAAGAAAAAAAAGGTATCGATATACAATTATTTTCCGGACGATTGCTAATGAAAACAAATAAAAATTTTGTACCTTTTGTTCTTTTCTTCAGGACTTCCATCGGCCTGAACCATATGACGGGCATTTCGCAAACGAGTTGCATTGGTAAGGGTTCAATGAGACAAGCATTTTTTTTATGCCATCCGGCACCTTCTAAATAAATTGATTTCACGTAAACTCCATCCTTGAATGAAAAACAATAATAATAATAATAATAATAATAATAATAATTTTTTTTTTCCCGATCGATGGGATGGGATGGGATGGATGGTGTTACTCTACCGGTGGTTTTTCCGCTGCTTCGTACGGTATCGTTTCAAATTCCCACGAAAGCGTATCGATGGATATTTCCTGTCTGCGAGCCGAAGTTTGTAAAACGGCTGTTAAAAATCCTGTTGGAAAAGTGAATGCGGCCAACCAAAATTGTACGGGAGGATGAGTCGTGTTGGCCCAACTATGAAAATGTGCGACTCTCGATACCAAATCCATGGTCCAAGAACCCAAACGTTTCAACGATGGATAAGCTGAAAGAGAGAGAGAGAGAGAGAGAAAGAGATGGAGAGAGTCGATGGAACCATCCGGGAAAGGTACGGATAACTTTTTTTTTTCCTTCTTACCTTTGAGCCAAAGAGAAGGTACTCTTCCTTCGTATATGCACGTGAATATTTCTTCGAGTTCGGCCGACATCAAAACGAAACCTTGAATTCCTTTTTGCAAATCCAACAGGGAATATTTTATCTTGTATAATAAACGATTGTATCTTTGTATTTCCTGGAGCAAAACAACGTCGAGTGGACTTTTATTTTCTCCAATGTTCTTATACGTCGTTTCGTAGTCGATGCTTTCGGGAACTTTCGAAATGACGTCAACGGCCAATTGCATAACCTATTTAATTGTAATTATTCATTCATTTAAAAAAAAAAAAAACTCGACATTTTTTATTTGTTTTCCAAAAAGTAATAATAACAACCTTTTCTTCTTTAGATGTTTCTCCTCCCGTGGTTCCCGAGACTTGAATCTGAAGAGACATGAGAGTTTCGCAAAGAGTTCTCGTTTCGGATATTAAACTCGTTATATCCGCATTTGGATGTTGTCCGAAAGCCTCGGGACGATCGACCGTCGGCAAAGTCGTAATATAATCTCTATAAGAATCCAGGCTACCATCTCGAGGTATGTAATACGTAGGCAGACTGGAAAGTCTGCAAAAAAAAAAAAAATTCAAGTATTATTATTAACGAATTTTTACGTAAGTGACGTGAGAAAAAACGTGTAAAGTAATCGTGTTTGCCTGTAAAATTGCTGTTGCAAAGCATCGGGACAAAAATATTGACTTATGTAAGTCATTAAAAGTCTTCGATCCCAATCGTCTGTCACGTGACCACCATAATTCACGCCCGCTATTAAATATTTGAGTGCGTCCCAGGGAGTATCCGGGTATTCGTCGAGGTATATGCTAAGCAAGTTTTCCGATACCTGTTCGTGAGGCGTACGTAACATTAATAACAAAAATTACTATTTTTTTTTTTGGGGGGGGGCATTTTGCGTACCTCGAAATCGGAATCGTTGAAACTGTAAACGACGTTCCAACCCAATTGTTGAAATTTTTTCCTTTCGAGTAAAACGGCGTGAAAATAACAGAGCGAGAAAAGTAATTTTTTATATTTTTCCTTTGCTTCGCAAGCGTTAAACTGTTGTTCCGTTAATATTTGATACAGACGTTTGAGATTTGCTTTGATCCCTTTCGGCGGTTCCGTCGTCATTTTTATCCCGGCTTGAAGAATCGAAATGGGAAAATGGGGATTTGGACTCGAACTCAACCATAAACGAAAATCTGGATGCACGTTCTAAAATAAAACAATTTTCTCGAATCTTTCTTTTTTTTTTTTTTAAATCACATGGTAATAATTATTAAGTTTTTTTTTTTTTTTTTTTACTTGAGTTTCCGTTCCCAATTTTTCAACAATTTTATCCAGAGTCGGCATCCAACTTAATGACAAATGACAATTGGCTAAGAAAACCCAATTACCGACACTGACACCCGTTTCGATGTATTTTGTCGCGATGGGTGATTGACCCTGACCCAGTGACAACGTCGCAAATCTTTGACTCATTCCCATGTTTTCGGCGAGTTGTAAAAGGGAATTTGTCGGATCCACACCGGGAGAAAGTACAAAGATCAAAGGACCTGAAAAACGTAAAAAACGATCCTTAGTAAATTTCTTTTAAAAGGATTCAAAATTTTTAATAAAAATAAAAGATAAAATTTGACAATTACCGACGGGAGTCGAGTCTTCGAAAACGGCTTTAACGTCCAACACGGGAGGTTCGACGTACCTTTGACCTAAATTACTTATGACGAATTGTGACGCGCAAAATGCCAATCTATCGGGTCTCAAAGAACGAATGAATAACATTTTTTGAAAATGATTTAAATTAGTTTCCCATTCTCCGATTAACGGTATAGATTCCGGTTCGGTGGAAACGTACCTGAAACGAAAATCACGATGCACGAAAAAAAACGCGTGGAAACGGAGGAAAAAAAAAAAAAAAAAAAAAAAAAACTGACCAATTTTGCCAATCTCTGGGAGATTGTTCAAATGTCGTCGCACATCCGTGAAATCCAGGTATTTTATCCAATTCGGTTATGTTGTCCCAAGCGGTTTCCGTCAGCCAATTCGGACACGGATTGGGTGATTGTCCGGACCTATCGAGAACGACACCGCCTTTCAGCAGGAAATTATACTCGATGTTATTGATCTGTAAAAAAAAAAAAGTTACTCATTTAAGAAAAAAATACAATTTAGTCAAAGTCATAGAGTAATAAAAAAACTTACTTTCCCGACCGCGTCCAAAATTTTAATACACATGTGAAACGAAAATAACAATTTGTGCATTTCGAAAAGGCCCCGACATGTATTCCTGTAAACTGCGTACGTGTGATACTCATTAAGATGACTAATTCTATCGTCTAAATTTTGACTTTTAGGACTTTTCTCAATCGAGATGGAAAACAGGGATAAATAAGAATCCAAAGAAAATTGATACATCGGATCGACGTTTCCCATATCGTTCAAAACGAAAAACAATATCGACGCCCTTTGAGCGCAAGGAACGTATCCCGATCTGACCGTGTCGATTTCAATTTCCGTTGTTTCAGCCATCTATTCGTGCAACAACAACAAAAAAAAAAGAAGAAATTTATGGAAAACAAGGTAAGATTATTTTTTTCAATTATTTAATTTGATTAACTCCAGAGTTTTATGATGGGGGGGGGGGAAAAAAAAGGTCAATTTTACCTACCGCTAACGATTCCTTTACGGCTTGTGAAGTAGCTTTTGATGTTTGTAACGTGTCGAATAATTCTTTATTTTCCAAAAGAGATCCTTTGCTCTCGGATAACAATTTTAAAAGTTCATCTTCGAGATTTTGTAATGTTTTTCTCCCGTTTGATATTGTTGTGACAATGTGACTTTTCATTTCTTCGAGTTGAGGTTTTTCTTTCCTCACGACAAGGCCCAACAATTGCGCGAGTAAACCTTCTTCTTTTATCGAAAAATTAATGAGAGTCGTTTTTGTCGATATCTGAAATTTAATAATCGCTTTCATTTTTTTGATTTCGGTCCCCCGATATAATAATAATAATAATACGAAAATAATTTTACCTCCGGCGAATAATGAGGATTGGGGAGTTTTGTCGTTATGAAAAATCGAAATTTATCATTGTACGGTATGTATTTGTCCATCATTTTTAAAACCATTTGTCCTTGCTGAATGACAATTGATTTTTTAAGAATGGGATTAAGTGCCGGCTCTAGAGTTTCTAAAATGTTTTGCAAAAGTACGGGTTTACCCGCTTGAATTGCATTTTCTAAAGTTTTCATATATCCAGATATGCCAAAATCGATAACTTTCAATCCCTAAAAAAAAAACGATATGATAAAATTTACCCAAATTTATCCAAAATCCAATTTCAAAATACTTTAGCGCATGAAATTTTCATTTACGTTCGCAGCTTCCATATTTTTAATCCATTTTAAACATTGACATTGCGGATCGATAATTAACGGCCATCTCGAACACCTCGCAACGATTATACTGTTTTCCGTGCTGAAATCATCGGTCGGTAAACCCATTTGATTCCATTCTCTCACCAAAGCAGGATCGATTAAAAATTCCAGTAAATTAAAATTTGGATCGTATGGAACCTGGAAAAAAAAAAAAAAAATTTTTTAACGACGAAAAAAAGTTAGTAACGTTATAATTAATGATCATTAATTATTAACCTCTTCTTCTTCGATTATACTTTTCTTCCATAAATCAAGGAGTTGTTCTCTGTATTGACTCACAAAAGGTCCCATGTATGATAAAAATGCCGTTGCCAAAAGGCAATCGCCCGGGAGTTGACCGAAATGAAGAGTGCAATATTCCACGGTTTGTTCCCATCTGAGTTTTTCTCCTGCCAATCCGTCGACCAGCATGGCAGCCCGTTGAAGTTTTAATTTTAAAAATTCAGCCTTTGCTTGTAATTCATCCTTAACAACAACAACAAAAATTAATTATTAATAATTTCGAAAAAATGACACCGTCAAATTTAAAAAAAAAAAAACTTATTATTACCATTTCTTTGGTTTTTTCTTCGTGTTCTTTCTTTAATTTACTCAAAAAATCTTGCAATTCTTTTAATTTAAATTGTAAATCGGCAAGCTCGACTTGTTTTTTTCTCAAACTCTCCAAAGTTTCTTCCAAACGAGCTTTTTTAGGTCCTACAAGTCTCCAGACTTTCCCATATTTTTCAATAGCTATAACCCACATGCACAAAGACTTGGCGGCAAGCGAAACTTGTCCAACTTTTTCCGGATCGAAATCTTCCAATTCGGTATAAGTCGCAATTTTTTTCATAATTTTTTCAGATATGTTATTTTTATCGTATTCTCTCAGCTAAAATACAATTCATTTATTTATTAACGCGATCTCTCCACCACCCCCCACCCACCCCCCGTTGTTTTATATTTTTTTAATTACTCTACTTACACTTTTTAAAAAATCTTGTTCTCCCAATAATCTTTTCGATTCTCCCCAATCCGGTGTTATATCTTTCAAAACGCAAACGGCTTCCATTACCATCATAACTTTCGGCGGTGGACGACCGTAGCTTTTGACTTCGGATATATCCTTTTTACTGAGAGCATCCAAAGCCAAAAGTGCTTCCTCCAAAGCAGGCATCGCTTCGTCTAAATCAGCCTGAGCTATTTTCGCCAGTTTTTTACAAGCTATTTCTTCTTCTGCAATTTTTTCCGATTTTATTTTAACAACTTTTGCTTGTTCGTCTGCTTCCCTTCGTTTTTGTGAAATTATAGTCATGGCTTCTTCGCAAATTTGTTGAATTTCCATAACTAATTCAAAAAAAAAATTATTATTTCGAATGAAAATTAATAGACGACGATAAATAATAATAATAATAATAATAGGTATTTATTCGGGTACCTTTAGCTTGAGCTTTTCCAAGATCAGTTGACATTACTTCGACACTACTTTTAGCTTCGTCAATTTTTCCTAATCCGTTTGATAATTTATTGGCTTCGTAATATAACTCTTTCCTTTTCATCGCTATCATTCTAACAAAAAAAAAAAAAAAAAAACAATTTTCAACGTACCATTTTAGGAAAAGGTTAAATTTTTTTTATCGAATTTTTTTTTACTCTTTGTATCCGGCAACCAATTCTAAATAATTTGTGGGCGTCACATAACTATAGCGCTTCATTTGCAACAGCATTTGTTTGGCCGTTTTTGTAACGGAATCGTGGATTATTGAAAATATAGAAGCTACGGCTATTCTTAATCTTTCGTGTAGGGGTTTTAACGGAGAATCTTTAGGTAATGGAGGTTCCTAAAAAAAAAAAAGAGAAAAAGTGCTCCGACTTTAAAATGAATCCGTAAAATTTACATTAATCCCAAAAGTAATTATTTTACCATTGGAATTCCATTCATTGTCACGGTCAAATCAATATCGACCAAATATTTTCTTGCAACTTCGAGCAAGGCTTCTTTTGGCCATTCTAAAAACCAATCGATCGTTGTACAATTGATGAGGGAAGGATATTGACGAAGACGATTTCTAAAAGCTTCTCCCGCAGGATTCATACACAATACAATGTGTAAATTCATAATAACGCGTTCCAAAAAAAACGCAAAAATAGATTCCGTGGTCATTTTAATCTTGGCCTTTTTAGCAGGCTCCGAGAGCGCATTTTTTATCTGAAAATTATATTTATCAGTAAGGTTTTACGCAATTTAAATGCGACGTATAATAACACGTGATTGAATTGAATTACTTCTTCGAATTCTTCCGGTTTGTAAAGATTTGGAACTTCTCCGCTACTCAAAACGTTGTTTATTATTTCGAGAAAAGCTTCTTGAACGACTTGCGTGTCGTTGAATATAAAAGTCGTCCCTTTATTTTCTATTCCGACGTAGTGATTTAAAGTTTTTAAATCTTCACGAAATTCTCCGACGCGATAATTTTTCGTTACTTCAACTTGAAAAATTCCATACTCGCAAATGTAAGCGGAAAGTCTAGTTAACGACTGTCTACCACTTCCACCTATAAAATCAATTTTTTCCTTTAATTTAAAGCTTTTAAAAAAAGGAAACTAAAATTGATTTTATTCCATACCAATTCCAACGGTTAGCATGTTTCCTTTGGGTTGCGAAATAACTCTGCATATTCTACAAATGTGTTCGATGGCATCCCTAAACAGTACCAAATCCATTCTAACAACTCCGGGAGAATTATTGTATTCAACCAATTGATTTTCTATGTGTTTTCTCAATGCTACGGGATCGTTTAAATCTTCGTATACCCAATAGGGATTGACGAAATCTCCGAAAACTGGAGATTTTCTTTCGGGACAAAGATTTGCAAAAGTCAATTCGAAATATTTTCCCAATTGATGATTGATTTCATTTATAAACCAATCCCGATCTCTGAAAGTTAAAAAAATTATTAAATTCTTATCAGTATAGAGGAATTTTATGATCGTACGCGTACTTTTCGTCCACCATACGATCGCTAAAAACTCTGAAACATTCGTGAACCCAAAGTCTTAATAATCCGTTAACTGTATTCTGGTAATCTTTGTGACTTCGGAGGAGTCCCTGAAAAACTTTTGATATATCTCGAAGATTAAATAGATAGTGCATTTTTGCCGGAGTCGGAAGCATTTTAGATATGACTTGCTGATATAAGTCAACGGTCATGCTAGTTAAATTTTCAGCTGGAATATTATAAAAAAAAGAAAATTCATTTTTCAAAATGAATTTTGAAATTTTTTTTTTTTAAAGTTTAGAAACAAAAAAAAAAATTTTTACCGATAAGTTTCACTTCCGAGTAAAAATCAGTAAAATGCTGTTGCAACATGGTAAAGAAAATTCTTTGAATTTGAGAATCGTCGGGAAAAGTCATGTTAATTATATTAAAGCGTGACATTAAACGATTAGAAATGTGATTTCTTCCACCGCCGGGAGGACCCATAGCACCAATTAAATACATTTCCTAATAATAATAATAATAATAATAAAAGATTAATTACTTATCCGAAATGCTGTCGGTTAAAAACGTTTCGAATACGTACTTTTATATATTTTTTCAATTGTTTTTGTCTGTCGTACCAAAAACCATAATCGATCCATTGACGGAGTAATTCTAAAGGTGGTTGCGCACCGTAAACCTCTTTGGCCGGCATGTTTAAATCGTCCAGGAAGGCCAACATTTGTTTTCCTCCGATCGGATAAAAAACCCCTTTGGTCCGCTTTTCCATTTTACTCTCAATCGTATCTTGTAAATTTTGCGATGAAGTTTGAGCCGACATATTGATGGCAAGGACGATATATTTATTATTGTTTAAACCGTCAACGACGCTTTGAACGGTCGATGTTTTACCCGTTCCGACGGGTCCAATTAATAAAGCTGGATAAGTGTTTGCGAGCAAAGTCGAAACTAAAAATTCGTATCTGACGGTGTCTACGGTGGGCACGATTATTTTATAAAAAGGAAGGCTGAAAATAATTTTAAAAAAATTTTTTTTCGTAAATGCAATTCGTTTGAAAAAAGCAAAAAAAAAAAAAAAAGTTTTGTACCTGGGATTGTATTTCCAACCCTCGTTTAATTGAATCTCCCAAGATAGCATTACTTTCTGTTTTACATCCACGTAATATTCGTATACGGTATCGACAACGGGAAAACAACCCTCTATTTCCCGAATAAAAGTATCGATTTTTTTACGTCCATCTTCGGTTACCGTACTGCATATAGACCAAATTGCACTTAAAAAAAAAAAAAACGTTATAAATAATTTACTAGTAAAAAATAATTATAAAACTAACCTAAAACTAAAAACTTACCAAAACCAAAACCAAAGTTTAGAAAATGTGGAAAAACTATCCTCGTCAGCCGGATCAAATCCATTTTCTTTCAGTGTAAAACAATCTAATAAACGGCAAAGCGACATAATACAATTTAACTCTGACGTTTTTATTAGTTCGCTGCAATTCAATCTTTTAAAATCTAATAATCTTTGCACGTAACGGTCGAAATAATCTTCCATTTCGATTGCCAACAAATCGCAAGTTTGCTTTTTAAGCCACGATTGAACGTAAGGTCTCCACGTTAAATCTTTGTAATCGTTATAAACCATTCCGCAGCGAGAAACCGTCGCTGGACTTGCAACAGCGAGATCTTCAACTTCGAATAAAAGCGATACCTAAACAATTGTTTAAAGTACCTCATGAAACTTTTTTTTTTTTTTTAAATCATAACATACTAACGATTTGCAAGAAAAATATACCTGTTCGGGCATTGTAATACGTTCGCTATTTATCAAAGTTAAAATTTTATTGTCGTCCATTACGCTGTTCATATTTTCAATCCAAATAGCGTCGACAGGTCCATCGAACAAAATCCATTTTTCATCAGGAGTTTCCTCTGCGGTAATAGATTAAAGTAAAACTTTTGAATACAAAATTTAATTTTCACAAAAAGAAAAATTTCAATACCCGCACAAGTTTTCCTCATTATTGCCGATAAAACTCCATCTAACCATTCACCGGTGGATAAATTAAATTCCCCGTAAAGCTCTCCTAATGTTAAAGCTTTAGGATTTATAGGATATTCTGTAACCGTTTGATAGTTTCCTTTATTTTGTAACTTTAGAGTAGTCATTGCAGCTTTCAACATTTTCCAACTCGTGCTTTTAGCCGTTCCTGTCGCTCCGACGAGCATTACAGAGTGCCTTGAAATTTTTGTTTCGTATAATTGAATTACTTTTAGCACCATTTTAGGCACACACTAAAAATTTGTAATTTGAAATTTAAATAATTTTTGAATAATAATAATAAAAAAAAAAAAAAGTCGCGACTCATATAACAATACCTGAAGATTAACTTTTTGTAGTTCTGATTCGATTGTGGTTTGTAATTCTGTATAATCGACCATAGGCGGTTGAATTCCCGGAAATAAATCTCTTGTAATACCATTGAAAAGTGGAAGATCATCCGAAGTTAATTTAGCTAAATTCATGTCTCTCATGGACAATAACATTATTTCATCCTCCGGCAAAAGGGGAAGTTGACGACGTTTTCTTCCCGAATAACGTAAAATAGCCACCTACGTAACATTAAAAAAAAAACTTTAAGATTTATTTGTGTAAAAGTCATTCATTATGACAATTACTTTTTAAAATCAAATTACCATTCCTCTTAAACCAAAGTCGTAATGATCTTGTTTGCTAAGTTGTTGCATTGACAAAGAAAACAAAGTGAAAACTTTTTTTGCTAATATTCGACAATCTTTAAATCCTTCCCCGAATAAAATTATTTCGGCAATCAGAGCACTATCGGGAACGACCATCGAAATGGGTCGAAACATTGATTTTAAATTATCAGGGAGTTCGGTTCTTCCAGCGTATCCTGAAATCAAATTATTATTGTTTTAGAAAATTTTTGAAAATTTTAGAAACTTTTTGAACTCAAAACTAACCTGGATTCATGGTGATAAATATTCCACAAGAATGAACTAAATTAATTTCGGCTCCGTCGAAAATAAAACGTTTTAACCGTTGAGATATTGCATGCAATATGGAAAGAATTTGTTGAGCGACTACCGATAAAACCTCAATATTTATTCTGTTAAATTCGTCAAAACATCCCCAGGCTCCAGTTTGTGCCAGCCCTGTGTGTTTTTAATGTCACATTAATTATAATTAGGTATTAGAAATATTTTTATTAATAAAAGACGTACCTGAAAACATTCGTCCCATTGATTTAAAATCTAAACCTTCAGAACAATTAATTACAATCACATAAGCACCCAATGCTTTTCCTAAATCTTTAACCGTTTCCGTTTTTCCTGTACCGGCAGGACCCTTAGGACTTCCTCCCCTATAGAGATGAAGTGCCGTCGTTAAAGTAATATAACACCTAAAATAAATTTTCTCATTAACTATACGCAAAATTTTAAATTTTCCAAACGTGATTAAACCCAAATATTTTGACTGATGATCAACCTATCGGTAAGTGGAGTAATAACTAATCTTCCGGAATTTCCAAGGTATTCGTATCCGTATACGAAATACGTGTTGGTTTGCCTAATAATACAATCATCGATATCTCTATCCCAATAAAATCGTAATTGTGACGACCATTCGAAAGCGGAAACATCCATGCACCCGACCTAAATTCGTCGTAAGTTATTTAATTGCATTCTTTTTAAATAAAATTTGAATCGGTAAAATTTTTTAGTGCTCACTTTGTACATTCTATCTATGACATCACGAGCGTGTATTTCTATTGTTACCAGCGCGACAACCTTAAGCCTTTGAATTTTTGTCAAATTTCCACGAATGGCTTCTGAAAATTTTTGCAATATTTTATTTTGTTTTTTTCTCAATTTTCTCAAAGGCACTTTGGATTCCATCATTTTGCAATGATTTAAAGTACGAGTGCAATCGGTTGTCCATTGAATTTGACTCGATGTTATACACAATTGTCCAGGTTGATCTGAAAATGATAAATAACGTAATAAATAATCAATTTTTAACTTATCGCGTCGTACTACTACTCATAAAATATAAAAATAATAAACACCTTTTATCCATTTGTCTCTTTTTGATAACATTTTTCTTAAAGTGGCTCTTGTAGTCTTTATTTCATTGTGCAGAGTTACTCTCATATTTTTTTCAATGTCACACAACCATCGCTCCACGGGACCCTCACAAAAAGTCAAATTACTAAAATCGATAACTTCTCCGTCGTTAGAAATCATACCCGTAGCTTCGAATTTACCGGAGAACGTACCTTTTCCAAGTTTTAATTTATTTATGTTGTCAAATAGTTTTTTCATATGCGGTTGAACCATTTCCGGTTTTTTCGAATTTCCTTTTTATGAAATAATAACCTTATATTAATTTTTAAATTAATTATTTTTTAACTCCTTGTGTAAATTTTATAAAAAAAAAAAAAAAAAAAAACACTTTACCTAATATTTCTAAAAGATCATCGTTCGATATGAAATAAAATCTTGGAAAAATATAGCGTTTCAATTCAAGATAAATTTCCAAGGCTCTTTGAATGGATTCAAGCTTATCATTTAATTTATTTAAGGTATTTAAAAGGCCTGGATAATGACAAGCTTCGAAAGCATTTTGAGTGGTGTACATTTGCGTTGTGATTTGTTTCCATTCGTTTGTTATTTCATCAAAATTTTTCGTTTCTTTTGACAATTGTTTTCTTATATCTTCGGCTGTGAATATATTTTCTAAAAAAAAAAAAAAAAAATAAACAAATTATTATTAATTTTCAATTTTATATTTTAAAAAGTGTTAAAATTTTTTTATTTAACATACCTAAATACATCCACTGTCTTTGAACATTTAAAGTTTCCTCTAACACCTCTAAAACTAATGATAAACCTCTTTCCCAATAATCAATATCTTGCATAAAAGGTTCACTGAACTTCGTACCTTTCATAGATGCCAATTGTATCTACATTATATAAATTTTTTTACTCATATTTATGTTACTTTTACAATTGTTTTTTTTTTTATAATCAATTCAAATCATATTTTATACATAAAACGAAATATATAAAGTTTTGAAGGGAATTTACCATGTGTTCCTCTAAAGTTTGAAATATATCATCAACTGCTTTCAGTCGGTATAAGTTTTTAATATCTTTGTAATTATCCATAGTGACATTCACTTCAGCCCAAAATTCACTGATGCTTTTCAAACCCGCTTCTATATTAAGCTCCATTGTTGCAGCATTAGATATTTCATTAATTTCTAATGCGAAATCCTAAAAACAAAAAGAAACGAAATAAAAATAAGGACAAAGAGTGTGCAGAGGAATAAATTAATGATTTTAATAATAATAAATACCTGCAATTTCATTTCGATAATAGCTTCCAAAGTGAAATCTTTCGAAGTTTCATCGAAATCAACTTTTGCAATTTTTCGAATTTGTTGCCAATGTCTGGGCCTTAAACAAACATTTTTCATGTCCACAATGAGGGGTAAACACCTTCTAAAAGCATCGACTTTTGAACGAGTGTAATCGACAATATCCCAATTTCGTTCTTTAAGCTCTCTCGAAAGTCGCGTAAGCTTTCTGAACAGGGTTTGAGCCTATAAAATAATTTCATTAAATAAAAAAATATTAAAAAAAAATTTTTTTTTTTATTTAGTGAAAAGAAAATAGTGCGTGTATAGAGTACCGTATTTTCCATTTCTTCGGTTTGTAATTCCCAGAAATTTCCAGATTTATAACGTCCCCAAGCTTCTTCCCATTGATTGGCTAGTTCCCATACCAACTCTAAAGTTGCTAATTCTTTTTCTAATTTTTCCATTTCTGGATTTTCGGGAAGTGAAATTTCAAAAATTGCCAATTCATTTCTCAAAGTATTTTCTTTTTCTCTTAATTCGGCCAATTCGGAACGTATGACGGAGCAAAAGCCAAGGGCCTCTTATAAAAAAAAAAAAAAAAAAAAAAATTAATCGATATTACACCATTTTCATTTTCTAAAAACAAATATTTGAGGGATTTTTACCTTTGGGTAATACATTTATTTTCGTTGGCATTGTTTGTAAAAAGTTTGAATTTAATTCGACTAATTGAAGTTTTAATTTTTCACTTTTATCCAATAACCCACTTTTAAACGAGTCTTTATTTCGATTAAGCATTTCTTCGGCTTTTGCCAAAGTGCTTAAATATTGATTCCATTTTTGTATGAGTAATTTGTGCTTTCGTTGTAACGAATCTTCTATTTCAACTTCGTATTTACGTAAGACTGCAAACTGATCGGCAATTTTGGGAAATTCTCTTTCTTTCATAGCAATATCATTTGTTAAACGTTCATAATAAGTTAATGTTTGCTGCATTTCAGCTATATTTCGGGGTTCGTGCATAATCCTTTTAAAAAAATTAATTTATTATTACTTTTTATTAAAACAAAAAAAAAAAAAAAAAAAAAATACATTTTGTGGGAAACCTACGCGTGTGAGTGATAATTGCAATACTGAAGTAAAGCTTTTATACTTTTTTCCGCCATTTTTTTTAACAATTCAAGAAGTTTCTCTTGCCAAGTAGAACAATGTTGTACAATTTCTATTTTTAATGGTCCCGAATTAATTTTAATAAAATCGATGCAAGTTTCAGCTTCTTGCATTTGAACGTTATTCGCCACTTCACTATAACGAGAAATGTCAGCTTCAAACGTTACGACAGAAGGATTTAATTGTTCGTATCTTTGTATAAATAAATCCTTGTTAACTTCCCAAATATCACGAAACGGATCCCATATTCTTAAATGTTGTTGTACCAAATTTAAATTATATAATACCTCTATTAACAATTAAAAATCTTCAATTATTATTTTATTTATGTTAAAAATATTAAAATAATAAAAATTTCACCAGCCTTGATTAATGGCAAATTGTAAACGTAAACACTCTTCATCGTTTTCAATCACGGCATAAAATGGTTTTTTAAAAAAACCTTTTAGTTTTAATCTGTCATACAGTCTAGGAATAGGTTTTACGAATTTAACAACTTCACTTAAGCATTTTTGCCCAAAGCTTGAAATTGTATTTAAATTAGGATTAAATGTTATCTAAAATAAAATAATATTTAATTTTCAAATTATTATCTAAAAATTTTTCTCGTATAATAAAAAATTTAATACTTTGTTATCCACTAAATTTAACGATACGCCGATTATTGGAGAAGGACCGGTAGTACCATCACCGTGTAAAAGCTGCATAAAAGTTTGCAACGAAACCTTAACGCACAATCTTAATGATTCCTCCATTAAAATATCTAATTGAAGAATAAATTTATGCCAAACGTCGCCCATCTTTAGAAAATTGGAAAAAATTAATAATCTTTACCAAATGAATTTATTTAAGTATTAACTTGTAAACTTACCGCAACTATGTCGTTTTGAAAACCCTCGTATATAATCGTAAGATATTTAAGAACTTCTTGGTAACAATTAATAACTTTTGCCGATCCTTCCTCTAAAGATTTTTTTAAAACAACCTTTAAATCTTCCATTTCATAAGTTACATCTTCCGGAATAAGTACAAGTACACTGTCACAAATTTGTTCGCAAAGAACTACGATTTGTTTAACAGAATTTTTATAATCGTCTACAAAATCTTGCAACTATAAAAATTTAATTAATTAAATTTTTTATAATAATAAAATTATTAATTAAATATTTTAATTCAACACTTACTTCGGCTGTTTGACTACTGACTTCCGTTATATACGCTTCTGAAAACTCTGACGTCCAATCTATTCTGTATAGACCAGGTGCTATTTTTTTATCTACTTTTTTGACCAATTCTCGAAATAATAACCGCTCTTCATCAGATAAAGCTGAAAATTTATTTTTTTTTTTAAATTGTAGAAAACTTAATAATTTGCCTAAAAAAAAAAAAAAGACTTTTCAAACCTGATATAATTTTATTATAATCTAAAACCACTGTTAAAACGTGCTCATATAAAATTCGAACATTTTTCCATTTTTTATAAAGTTGTTCAGCTGGATGAGGAAGATCGAATCCAAGGTATAGCCAATATGAACATTCGTTAGCAACGTTTAAACACACTCTGAAATTAACAAGTTTTTTTATCATGACGAAAATTACATCAATCTACGACGTTTTTTTTTTTTTTTTTTTGTTATATATTATTTACCCGTCAAAATTATTTTCCAACAATCCAGGCTTAGAAGTGCTTCTTCGCATCAAAGGCCGATTTAATCTCTGAACAATATTATCCTCTAAAGTATCATTCCATTTTCGAAATAAATCCTTGATGTGCTCTTTGATAGAAAGCATTAATTGATCGTATTGTAGTCTCACTTCCATGGCTATACCACATTTTGGCAACCACAAGGCATTTTCAATCATCTGCAATATATATGTATATAATAATATCTCGAATGACAAATTTAATTATTAATACTCGCTATAATGCAGGTTTAAAAAATTTTATTTGCAATTAAATTCACCTCTTTCATGTATAATAATTTTTTCTTTTTTATATGAGCCATTATTGCTTTACCTCCAAAAGTTGGAGAAAGAATAGGCCTGTATTTTTGTTCTTCGACCAATTCCTGTTTCACTTCATGTATATTATTCATAAACGTTGACCACAATATCGCTGTGTATTTTTCAATTAATGGATACAGTGATTCTCTAAGAGAATAATGGTAAAATGCTTGAAGACCGTATATAATTTCTTCGACGTTATGAGTTGGTTTAACAGTAGCTGCAATCAAATTTTCAACTATTTTTTCAAGCTCTTTTATTCGGGATCGAAACCTAAAAAAAAAAAAAAAAAAAAAAAAAAAAACTTAAATAATTAAATACTTTAAATACTGTATACACTTTAACTTTTTTTTTTTAAAACTTAAATTCAAATTTTACGAACTTTAATATTTGCTCAGGCCAATTCGGAACTAATATATCTAATATAATATTTTTATACTGAATTATATCTCCTAAGTAATCTTTAAAATTTTCTTCTATATTGTCTACGACTTTTTCAAAATTCCTTCCTTTTGTGCCACCAAAAATTGGCTTTCTAAGCGTTTCCGTTTCACTGTAACGGCCAAACGTGATCATAGCATTACAAATTTCAATAAAATCTTTATTTCTTTGAATGAAAGAGTCAACATGATTAAAAATTGAAGCCTTATCTAAATCCCACGGTTGTTCTGGATTTTTTTCAGAATGGCCTTTGGCAATCTGAAAAAAATTGTTTATTTTGATTACAAGATAATAAATTTATAGCAAGGTTTATTTGCATTAGTTTAAAATAAAAATATCAGAATACTCACAACATCATAAATAAGTTTGTACTTTAAACAACAGTCAATGTTTCTTTCTAAAATTTTTATTCCGTTTTGAGTACGACCCTTAATTAATATATCATTTAAATCTACGAAATTTTTGCATTGTAAAATAATTTGATTGCTTAGATTTCTGCATAATAAAGTCACTCTTTCTTTTGTGTTATAATATGGGGAATTTAACCATATAAATCTGAACAAATTTAGAAGCTTAGGAATATGGTTTGTCATTGAAGCCGGAGAAGTTTCCAATGACAATTCCTCACAAGGTTTTTTTAATATTTGTAAATACTCTATATTACTTTTTGCTTCCTCCGTTGCTTCCATTACTTCAGTTATTAAAGATTGAAAAGGTCGTAAATAAGAAGACTGATGTATTGTCAAAATGTCTAAAAAGTGCTTCAAAGCTTTCGATTTTAATTGATAGGATAATCCTGATAAATTTTCCCATCGATAAATCCAAAAATTATATTCATCCAAGGGTGACAATAATTCTGAATGTGATGTTTGGTCGCTATCACTAACTGCTATCCTCATTTGCCTAGACCAATGAATCACAACTCCTAAATAAATTAAGTTAATTTTAATTGTTATCACAAGTGATGAAACAAATTGAACAATAATTGATTATTAATTACCTTCTAATCTACGAACAAGTTCTTTATCTTCAGCTGCCTCGTGAAGAGGTGCATTTAAACCATCCTGGGGAACATACAAAACGGAAAGTCCAAGCATTTTATGATGCAAATCAGTTAATTTTGCTAAAAATTCATGCATATGAGAACAAAAATCTCCTTTAACACTGTCTGGCCAAGATGTGATGTTAAAAAATATAGGTGCATAAATGTTTCCGAATAAATTTAAAATTGAACCTATTAAGCAATTATAAAATCAATAATAGGAATACTTATTAAAGAATATAATAAAAGTTTTCAAACATTTACCTTCAACAGTATTGTTTAAATTTCCAAAGCTTATTTCTTCATGAAAATTTTCTGGATCTATTTCCTGATTTTTTTCTTTTATGAAATACATGACATCGTGAATTGGTATTTCAGGAAATTCAAAAGCGGCACAAAGACTTAATTCATTATAATATATAACTAATAACTCTGCTTCTGGATTCATAAAAAAGTCTTTTATAACTTTTTCACATTCACTTGTCCAATCTTCATTGTGAAGATCGAATAAAACTGTAAACTTTTTGACTTTAGATACTAATATATCATACTTATCAAGTATTTTAAAACTCTCTTCTTCGTATTCGTCTTCATTTTCATCTTCTTCATCTATAACAAGTTATGATTATTTATTTCATAATTTCAAATGTAACATTTACTTATAAATACTTTTATTATTATTAATAAAAATTATGGTTTAAATCTATATTTCAAATTTTAAATAATATCAGTTACCTTCCATAAGCTTTCTTAACTCGGAATCTTCTTCTCCTTCGCTAGTTTTGTTCGATGGGGTGTAAGAAGGAGTTGCTTCAGAAGATTCCATTCTAAATGTTTATTTTTAATTTAAAAAGTATAAGTTAAATCTATGAAATATACTGTAATTAGGTGAGAAACAGATACATTGTAAACAGTCTGATACTACAGCTAATACAAGTGAATATATACATATACATTTGTGTAAACAAAAATGTTAAATGTTTCTATGGTGATAATAATAATTTCAAAGTTTGATCTTAATAAAATTTATCTGAAAAAAAAAAGAAAAATTGCACATTAAGTAAAAATAACATATATTTATATCTTAAAAGTATTAATAATATTTATGATACAAAGATTAAACTTGATTTTGCTTGAAATTCATATAAAAGCAAAGTAAAATTTTTTAAATTTATTATATTATATAAATGTTTGAGTTATGTTTACCTTACTATTACTTTTTTTTATACGGTTTCTCATTGAGAAAATATTAAAATTGTGATTACTAATTTAAGGAAGTTTCGACAATTGTTTGATATTTTTAAAGGCTGGGTTTCTCATTCGTATTGCCATGCATTGGTTCCAATATATAATTAAATTTTCTGTACTTTCTTCAAATCGTTTAATGGTCTTGACTAATATATGAGGGCGATGGTATGATGTGTATAACATGCCAAATATTATATACGGCTTCATTTCATCAAAATTATTTAAAACGCATTTTAAATCAAGTTTAAGAAATTTTTCACTTTTCCCTACAGTCATATTTTGAAATTCCAAATCATGCCCTCGGCCATCAATAACAAAAGCCAAAGTTTTAATATTTAAATTTTGCAATTCATTAAGATCTTTTACATGTGATAATTCGGAAATGGTGTAAAAGACATGAGGTTCATTTTTAAAATTAGACATTTTAGGAATAATATGTGATTACACTAAAACAACAGATATTCTTATAGTCAGCAACGAAAACGACTTCTGAAAGAAATGGCGGTTTCACGCAAACTGCGAGAAAAAAGTTCGTTAGTTAATTTCGTTTCCGCCCTACTAAGCCGGTATATCCTCAGTACTTGACACATACATGTAATGAATTCAAATAATCGTAAGAAGTTTTATAATATTTTATTACTGAGTAATTGTTTTTTATTTGATTTATTTAATTTTTATTCATTTCTAATAATGTGATTACATATTTTTTTCTGGTTTCTTTTTTTTTTAAATTGCTGTAGTAATTGATTTTAATAATCAAGATTTAGAAGCCAAATGTAACACATTGGAAAATGTGATTGCCCAAGATTTAATTCTATTAGGCAAATTAACGACATTAAACAAAAAATATGAAAATTTAAAAAAGAGGTAATATTGAATTTTTATTAATACTGAGTGAATAAAAAAATATTAGCTTTATTTTTACACAATTGAAATCATAATGTTGCAGTTTATTGTTGACAAAAAAAGAAATGGAAGACATTAGAGCTGAATTGCAAAAAACATTATTTTATAGAAATATAACTTTAGATAAGCAAAAAATATTATTTCATAAGGAAATAAATGAAATTTTATTAAAAAGAAATAATTTTAAGGTAGTATTTACACATTATATTTGATCAATGCTCAAAATTATTGAAACATGTAAAACAGGGTCCTATATAAATTACAATTAATGTTACAGGTTTCACATAAAAAAATATCAAATCCTTCTGCTGAATTAGAAGATTTAATTAAAAATAATGAAATTTTATTAAATAAAAGTTGTAAACTATCTAATTTACTGGAATCTACCATGAGACAATATAATAAAGAAATAACCAATGCAAGACAATTACTAAAGGATAAAATATGTGAATTTTGCTTTATTTGGTTGAAGTATATGAAGTTAAAAAATTGATATCATTTTTAATTCTGGTAAACAACAAATTTATTTTAAATAATTTTATATAAAAATAATTATAAAAAAAAAAAATTAAAATTAAAATTGACTTATAATAATTTATAATATTAAATAGATAGTTATTTTAAAAAAATTGAAATTTGTTTTACACACACAAGTAGACACATTACAATTGAATTGTATTTTTGTAAATTATCAATTATTGCTTGCTCCTAATTTTTTTTTTTTTTAAATTTTTTAAATTAAAAACATCACTAAATTTTTTTTTTCTCTAGCATATACTTAAAAATTTTGGTAAGTATCTTAAAATCATATTTCAAAATTCTATCAAGTACTTATATTTTTGGCATTCTGAATAATTTTTTTGTTTTTTTTTTTTAGTCAAAAGGACATGCAGCAGTGTGTTTTAAAGTGACGCAATAATGTCCTTTGGCATCGTCCGGAGTATATTCTCCCATAACAACTGGATTTCCTGGAAGCCTTCCTAATGATCTGCTTGTTCTAGGACACTTAGGCGTGCAAGGTACACCCACTGTTTTTCTTGGATTTATGACTGACATTGCATAGTAGCATGCGCTTAAAAAGTGACTACAACGTGCTCTTCCTAAATTTTTTTAAATTCAATAATTTCATTAACTGAATTATCATTTGCTTTTAAAATTTGATAGGGAAAAAAAAAAAAACATACGCAATCGATGGCCTCTACAACTAGGTTGAAATCTTCCTCCATTTACACAAAAGTCAATATCACCCACTTGTGAGGTTTCACCCAAAGCACCCGCATTCGTATGTATAACTTGAACCACGTTTGCATCATCTCTTGTTAATCTAAACGCCTCGTTTCCAAATCTATCTATCAAAGGTCTAGCCGGATCCAAACCTAATTCGACAACAAATAATCAATTTAAAACAATTTTTTAATGGAAATTCAATTATAAAAATGTAACTCTTCCATCGATTCTTACCCACTATTTTATGCATTCTTTTTGTGAGGTAGTTGTTCATCATTCCACATATGTGAGCACCTAATGAATGACCTATACATGTTGTCGATTCGGCCGATGCACCGGAAGCAGTTAAAAACGAATATAATTGAGCTGTGCATTGTGCGACTAGTCTTGTATTACTTATAGCTGATAGATAACATGGAAACCGAGTTAAAACACCCCAATCGATTGCTAAAACGTTATGATCTCCTCTTTTTAAGTATGCTAGAAAAATAAAATTGAATATTTTAATTTAATATTAAATTTTTTTTACAGGGAAATAAAATTTAAATTATATTTTGTTTATTTTCAGAACTTACCATCTCTGATAAAACTCAAAGGCATTTTTCCTTCGGTTCCATTAAATCCGTGAACTATAATAACATTTCTTTTATGGGGATCCCAACCGTTATAACGTAAAGAATATGGATTCGTTACATCTATTTTTCTTCTAACTTTATGTTCTCTGTAAGTTTTATCAAATCGAAAGTAAATTTTTCCAATTGTAAAACACCAAAACTAATTACAATTTTTTTTTTTCTCATTGACAGGTATTGGATATTCAATAATCAATTGGATAAATTGAAAAATACTTACGGAGTATATAAATAAAAACGTATATTATCATCGGGACAAAAACTAGTTTTTTTATATACGCATCTCCAATATCGTATATCAAACATGCTTGTGAAATATCCAACGCTACCTGTAAGTAACAATTTTATTAAAATAATTTTTTATTACCCGTTGTTAAGATAAATCAAGCGAAAAGTTTTTTTTTTTTTTTTTCAATCAAAAACGTTAACGATTCGTCATATAAATAATAATAATAATTATAAATTATTTCCGTTTTAAAGAGAAATTTCAAAAATATTTTCATGCCGTATTATATGTATATAAATTGATGATGATTATGATGATGATGATGATGATGATGATTTACATTAAAGGTACGCACACACACACACACACACAGATTTTTTCGACATTTTTTTTTTGACAAAATGGCTTTCGATCATTATATTATAATAATTCCCATATGGATTTTTCATTTATTTTCATATTAAAATTACGTTAAATAATTACGTAAATAGTAAAATTTCGTCAATTAAACCGTCGTGTAAATATATAATAATTACACACAAATCGATTTCAAACGCCATTTTGATTAAGGCATTAGTAAAACGGTAAACAATTAATTACGAATTGATTTTCGTAAGAGAATTTTCATCTTAAGCAAAATTAAATTTCGCGTTATGTATCTATCATTTTGCCATTTTATTTATTACGGATCGCTAATAACCCAAAATTAATTTACGCTTTTTAAATTTTCCACATTTCCGAGTCTTAGTTATTACATAGTCCATAAATTTATTATTATTATTATTAATAAAAGAAAATTTTTTAATAAAGAGAAAGGGAAATGAAATGAAATTTATCGTACGAATCAAATAATAATAATAATCGAAACAACACATAAATAAATAAATTATTAATTAACATATTATATGATTTATTCATTAATGTGTGTGGTTTTACTACATTATTATTATTATTATTATTATTATTGTCAGTTAATTATAATAGAAAATAAATTGTATGTATGACCCTGTTATTACAAACACTTTTTTACAAGGCATTATAATAAATTTAAAGATGGGGCTTTAAAACAAGGTACAGACAAATTAATTAAGGTTTTGTAAACAAAGAAAAATTTAATTATATTTTAGTTTTAGTTTTTTTTTATTATTCGGAAGGTACGGTTCGTTCATTATTACATATTAATCTTGTCATTGGCTAAGAAAAAATTTCATCATTTAATTATTATTATTATTATTATTATTATTATTATTATTAATTACATAACGTTTAGTCATGAGTAATTAAATACATGTCAAAGTGTGCGTAAGTAATAATTAAATGAGTAATTAACGCGTGCAATGTCATTTTCTATTAAATAAATAAATAAATAGTAATAATATATATAATATAATAATAATAATAATATGAAAATAAATAAACAAATTGATACTCGGGTCACTATTTTTTTTTTCGGTTGATGAATATTTAAAAAAAAAGAAATTCTTTTTGTTAATTTAAAAAAAAAAACCTGATTGCGTAGGTTTAAAAAAAAAAAAAAAAAACCATTTCGTTTACTTCTTAAAGAGATGTATTATTATTATTATTATTATTATTATTATTATTATTATTATTATTATTATTATTATTATTATTATTTTACGACCGTGAATATTGTCCGGTTTTGTAAATTTTGACACTTTAGTAACACATCACATACATACAATGCCAAGGTTTGAAAAATTTTTTTTTTTTTAAATTCTATCATTTTGTTGTTAAATTGTTTCTTATGCAATTGTATGATTTTGACAACCAAGGTTTTAAACAAACATTGGCAAATTATTTTTTTTTAAATTATAAATAAATTTTATTGACAAAATCTCCCCCCGCTCCCCCTTCCCCCTCGTCAAGGTAAATGTTAAATCGAACCATGAACGATATGAATACCAATTGATTGGTGATCTTCAATCTTCTTTTCCATAGCCTTTAATAAATCATTTAATCGACCTTATTGTTGTACCTTATCGTAGTACCTTATTGTTATACCTCATTGTTGTAGTAAAATTTAATCACGTGGTATTTAATTAAGAGAAACACCCTATAATCATCGATCCGATGTTAAGTTATGTTTATTTATTTAATTTTCACGTGCGAATAAAATAAATAAATAACTAAATAAAAAGCATAAAATTTATTTATTTATTTATTAAAATTCGAATAATTATTATTAAAAGAGTTAACTGATCGTAAAGCCTTGACATCG